AATTATACTACTAAAAAGTTAGGGTGTTGAGTGCTCTTGAGAAATAAGGTTATGGGTATTGCACATTTACCGCTCTTCTTTTTGCTACAAAAAATTTTAGATGAGTTCGGTCCCGGCAACTCACCAAGGACAAAGCATGTCTTCAGGTTTAGAAGAAGCTTACAGAGGTACTTGTAGATTGCCCACCCCAATAAGGTTCTCACATCAACAGCGAGATTCGAATTCATGATCTTGTACATTATGAGCTGACTCCTTGTCAATTAGATCAACTCTTATTGGTTACATTTTATTGAATGTATCTTCATCAATAACTAATTGTGGATACTAGGCATGACAAACAGATAATACTACCTCCAATCCTTAATATAAGAGCTATTAATTAGAGATTAGATTTGGTTAATAAATATAATATCTCGATCCATTTTATCTCTTAAAATTATAATGCTTTCTTTAGAATATCCCTATTGGAGTTTGTACAAATGGATAGTTACAATGCACATAATATAAAAATGATAGTTCAGAAAAGTTAGCACACATTTGTGACAATTAACTAACTAATTTTTTTAACCTTCTCAAATTAGTTATCTAGTTTTTATATTAACTATTAGAGGTAGTAGTATTTATATCTATGTAATTGGATCACTAAATCTACTGTAATTTAATAACAATTTTATTCTTTAAATAAGATTGTCTTTTATGATGAAAAGAATCAAGCTTTCAAACTATGTTATATTAACCAATAAGATGGATGCTTGCTAGAATGTATTGTCACATCAATAGCAAGGGGTAAATACAAAAATGTGCTACTTGTAAAATGATAATTAAACATATCTTCACTACTACAAAAAAGTCTTTTACATCAGTTAAATGGCCATTTGGCATCAGAAAAATGACCGGTGTAGAAACAAACAGTGTCAGAAGTCTGCACTTTTTACACTGGTTAGGAAACTGGTATAGAAAACTATGATTTTAATAGCAATTATTATTCCAACTGGTGTAACAATTGAAAATTTAAATAAAAAAAGGTCTACTTCTTAGACCACCAATCTAAAAACTGAACCTTTTTTTATTTAATTTTCTTATACTAGCAAGTTCTTTTAATGATTGAATATTTCTTTTACCAAACAAAAGAAACTATAAGAACACAAAGTCTAGTAGTTAACAATATTAGGGTTCAGAAAAATAGCTCATTAAGGTGAATGAAAATGAAGAAAGATAAGTTACCAATGGTTGACAAGGACGAAGAAAACGAAGGCCAATTCCTTTTGTAAGGATGAGTTAGATCTTTGACAAGTACTAGGTCAATCAAGGTACTACAACTTGGATCTGATCATACTTGAATGTGTTAGAACGACTAATCACCTAAGAGGGGGTGAATTAGGTGTTCCAAAAATTTTAACTTCAAGCGTATACAACAAGTAGGCTAAGAAGAAAGTATTAATTGAGAAGATAGAGTAGGTTAAGAAGGATGAGGAAGAATAATGTACAACAAGTTTAGCCTGGTTCGGTCTCTGTATAGACCTACATTCAGTCTCTAGGCTCCACCTGAGATTTTCAATCCACTATATTCCTCAAGTTTAAATCGAATGCTTTAGAACCACTACAACTCCCTCAAGTTTTTCATGGGTATTTGAGAGCCACTCCCCCTTACACCTAGTAAGGTTACAATTTGTTTCTCATTCAAGATTCCTCAATCTTGAGCAACTTCACAAAGATTGATGTTTACAATGAAAGCATTCTTCTCTTTATGAAGTAGATTTTCTTAAACACTAAAGCATGATAAAAATATGATTTTGCAACTTTAAATGTAGAAGTGAGAATCTCATAATCTTGACATTATGAATGTACCTGCTCTCTCTCTCTCTCTCTCTTTTCTTTTTTTAAATTGAATGCTCTTCTATTTATAGATGATATTGAGCATTTGATCGTTGAGCATCTTCTTCCCATTTGACTTGAAGAATATGAAGGTTGAAGCTAGCTATTGGAAGCTTCAAACATAAACTTTCATCATTTTTCTGTTGGGTAATTGATCCTCCATTAACCTTGCTTAAGAATGTCATTAGTAAGTCATAGTAGTGAGGATAAATAAATGGTGATCAATAATCAACTCTTAAACAAGTAAATATCAGTTAGTTTAAAGATCAAATATCAAAGCTAAAAGATTGATTATCAATAAAGAGCTCAATAACTAACATTACGGTAGTCTTATTGATAATTGTTCAAAATGATGAATGAAAACTTGAAGTTCATTATCGATAATAAGTTTTATCAATTAAATGACCAAAAGATGTGAAAACTGAAGTGTGTGAAATCTTGAAGTTCATTTTTTATAAACAATTTTATTGAAAAACTTATCAATAATTGTCTGAAAGAGATTAAAATGATTATTGACAAAACTTATCAATAAATTAAAAACTAAAAACTTGCAAAGTTCTTGCATTTTTTGATAACTTTATTCGATAAAAGCATTTATCGATAATCTTATCAATAAGTATTAAAGAGATAAACTTAAAGAAGTCCATTTCAGAGTTAAACCAAACAAGTTATCAATAATCTTATTGGCAAACAAAATTATTGATAATCTCATTGATAATTACTATTGAAAATCTTTTTCTGAAATTATGATGAGCTTTTCTTAGAAAATATTATTGATAAGGTGTTCGTTAAAAGCAAGACTTAGAAAATTATCAAAATGGTCTTATTGAAACCTTTATTGCAGAGGATTATCAATAAAAGTATCAATAAACCAAAAACTTAGCTTTTAAAAACTAAAAAGATAATCAAACACTTTGAAATTTAGGTATAATTATTGAAGTCGTTATCGATAAACTATGTTATCAATAAACTTATCAATAAATGACTCTTTTCTTGAAACGCTATGAATTATTGAAAAGCTTATTCATAATTAGAATTATCAATAACTTTATTAATAAATATTGATTCAACTTTTGAAAACAAATTTAAAACTTTTTGTTGAAACAATCTATCTTATAATAGAACTTCTGATGCAAGCAAAATGAAGGTCAATTTTGAGTGACATAAATCGTTCAATTCAACTTCAAATATTGCAAATGACTTATCACCTAAAAGTTCCTTGAGTCTACTTTCCAACACAATGAGTCCCACTCCAAATTTCATTATAGTTTCAAAGTTATCTTTATCATAGTGACCAAAAGTCAAGGATAAGGGGTGAAACCTTAGTATCATTTTTCGAGCAGCATTTCTCCTTTATACAAAACTCATTGGAGTTGATCTTAGTGTCTATTAATCATGTTCTGAGTCTAGTTTCATATGGATTAAGTTCACCTGAAATGGATTTATAGATTAGTATAAATTATAGAAATACCTAACATATGTTGAAGCTAAATGAACAACAGAGCATAATAGAGTAGTGATTTTTCGAAAGGTTATGGATAAACATGTTTATCAATAATGAACTCAAAAAATACATGTGAAAATCATTTCTGAAGGTTATATTCAAGTTTAGATGAAGGGTGACTCAAGGTATGTTGATATAACTTCCAGTTGAACTTGAATATCAAATCTAAGAATTTAAATCTTGATATTTCCATTTGATCTTGTAGATTCTTTTTCTTCTATCTTTATTCTTCTTTTTTTTAATCAATCTCATGATCACTTCTTTCTTTTCTTGACCAAACTACACAAGATAATCATATTAAATATAGTAGTTAATCAAAGCATAAGAAAAACATTTGATACAAACTTTTTGCTCTAATATTTGACATCATCAAACCGATCATATCTAATAGAATAACCAAATACTTGGCAGAGTTCCTCATCCTATTTAATGGACCAAATACAGTGACGATGCCTCAAGCCTCAGACATCTTGCAACCTTTAATGAACAGATTCAAAACTAATTTTGAACAAAAAGAAACTGGTATTAGGGTTCAGGCAAAGAGCTAGTGGGAGAAATAAATAGAGATGATGTTACTATAGTGAGAATAAAATGACAGAGGCCACAGATAAGGACATTACTAGCGAGTGACGAAAGACGACTTGAGCACTCCAAGACATCTCCATATTTCTTTTTGAGAGCATTGTTTTTCGTATTCTAAGATCATGAAATTGAAGGAGAGAGGACCTCATTTATAACTAAGGCAAAAAGTTTACACTGATTGACATAGAAACGTGTTAAAAACACATTTTACATCGAACACAACATAACCTGTATAAATGTTAAATGTTACATCGAACTTGAAAACACCTGGTATAAAGCTCCCAAAAAATAACCAGTTGTTCTTCTCTTTCTTTAAACCAGCCAAAAAAATACTATAGTTTTACGAGTTTTAGGGTTTGTTATTAAAAATCAAAAAGAGAAAAATGCATTAAAGAGAACAAATATAAGAGTAGATCATCAAAAAATATCATATATACATTTATATACAATTGGTGGGGGCATAATAGCCACCTTTTAAAAAAGACTACATTGTTACAACTAAAAAAAAAAAAAACTAGTAGCGGAAGGAGGAGGAGGCTTTTTCATCGGACAATGAGTAAGAGGTAGCGGAAGCTGTTATCCATGTCGTCATACTCAATGTGCCTGTCATCAAGTAGGAGGTTGACTTTATTGTTGAGGGTGTAGAAGTAAGACAGCACATGACAAAGGCTGTATTTAATCACCACTACTCTCGTAAGTAGGTGGTCAAAAAGAGGTGAAGGCAGGGGATGCAGGGGAGGGTGGTAGAGAGGGGGACACTACTACAGTAGAGACTTTTTACCTCTATTCTAGAAGACATTTTTACCTTTGTTTTGAGAGGACCACAAAAAAAAAAAGAGATAATAAGTACCCCACATTTTACTTCTATTTTAGACAAATAAGAAAAATCAAACTTTTCATGTCTGTTCAAAAATAGAGGTAAAAAGTGCCACTTTTCACGTCTGTTTTTGGAAAAATAAAAGTAAAAAGTAACTTTTTTTTATTAAAAAAAACATTTTTTTTGGTTGGATTAGAAGTGATTTAAAGATTTTAAATCAAATCCAACAAAAAATGCCCTATACTTATTATCATTATATAATTACATGCTCAAAGAATAATTTATAAATAAAAGCACAATAATCCAAATCTCAATATACACTAATAACAAGTGTTATGCAAGTACTCAAAAGTCACAATAATAAAGTCAAATCATACTAAAATAACATAAAAGTATCTAATACAAGTAAAACCACAAACTTAATAGCTGATACTTGTGTCATATAAGTCTTATGGCTATCTTTTGGTGCTTAAACTTCAACTTCATCACCTGCTCTCACCACCAGTCCTCATGGCTGTCACAAGAACTTGACACTACTGCACAAGAGAGGATCAGGTGGGTTCAGAAAAACTACGAGATTTCCTCAAGGTCTTCCACCATAATGCAAAAATAATAAAAGAAAATAGAGCAAACCATGCAATAGACAAGGATTTTTTTTTTTTTGGGGAGGGGGAGAGCAAAGCTCTTGAGAGCTTCAAATGCCTCCGGATATCGGATAGATGAGGCAAAATAAAAGCATAATTGACAAGGATATAGGAAAATCACTAGAAATATGCAGCTTTCTTGTGAAAGTAATTAGTGCAATTCTCTAAGCTTCTCAATATCATCATATAAAGACATATTAGCTGGTGCATTTTTTGCCACTGCAGACCGTGATCATGATGATTATCTAGTAGCATATATCACAATTATAAAAGCATATATGAATTTTCAGACTTCAGTTTATTTATATTGTTCATTTAATTAGATTGGTCACAAGTGAGTTTTCTTCTTGATTTTTTCTTTTTTTGTTTCTTGCCCGCACATGTCTTAATTGGCATAATAAGTTACTAAATAAATTATAATTTTTTTATTAATGTTATATATGCTCAGGAAGTGACAAGAACATCTTTGAAACATTGCACCTTACACTGAGATGAGCCCCTCCCTCCCTTTTAAATGACAGTTGTTAGTTTCTGACATGCCTTGTCATGGTTTTGTTTTGTGGTAGCTGAGTCAAATTATAAAGGTACAGGAGTTCAAATAGACATAAACACTTGCAGACTCATCGATGACAAAGGCTATAAATATATAAATAGTAGCACGCATCATATATGACGTCAAGAAACATTTTATTAGAAGAAAAGTGCATGTATGTGGAAGAGAGTAGTAATGAACCTTAAAAGCTTTGAAATTGTATCATCACCTGGACAATCTTCACATGCTATGCTCAATCATCAACAGCATCCTAAAAATAATTAAGAATATAGCAAATAAAATAAGTATATTAGAAGAACAAAAGCCATCGAAAGTCTAAACAAATCCTCATATAAGAAGAGTAAGCATACCTTTAGCAGACCAAGTTCCTTGGAAGCTTGACCTCTTCGATAAAGAGCTTTAAGATTTTTTGCATCATAAGCCAAAACTGTGGATATATTTTGAACCCAAAACTTGCTAATGCGTCAACTCTTAATGACGCTTCTATGGTTTTAAATGAGTTGGTTCTACATAGCAGACAAAATTGGTAGTGTGCCGCAAAAATGTTATTAAGTATGAAGAAGTTCAAACCAGGACTAGTGATGTAACTTGGGGGTTCATAATTAAGAGAAATTAACGGTAACTTGCTGCAAGATACAAGAAAACTACCAAACTAAACAAGAGAGATGCAATCAGAACAACTTAGATAATATATCTAAATCTATTATTCATATCCTACAAATATAATTATAAGCTAGTAATGTTTGCAACAGAAACAATTTTTTTGGGGTCATGTGTAACAAACGAAGTTAGATAAATAATTCAGAGAAGACTAGTAGTATTAAAGATGACTATTTTAAATATTTCATAAAGCACATTAAAATATTGGCATTATGTTTATACTCTTTATTGGAGATAAAAGTAACATGCCTTAACAAATCTTACAAGACTAGCGAAACAAGATAGTTGGCAATTTCCATTCCACAACAAGGGAAAGAAGTGAGTATCCGCTACTTTTCTTTAAAAACAATTATTACCTTAGAGCACCCGTTTTCCAACTCTTAGCATCCTTAGTGAGATCTCAACCTACATAAATTGATTGTGTAATAAATAACTTCAAAAAATTGTAAATCCCGCAGAATTCAAGTAAAATAAATTCAAGCTTTCAAGTCCGTATCACCAGAAAGAGTCATTCATGGACTGCGTTGCTAATTTCATCTATTGACCCCAAATTTATTCACGTCAACTTTCATGGAAAAAACGATGTTGGACATCTATTGCAAGAATTTCAGATCCTTTCATAAGAGAAGCTGTAAAGTTTGTAAGAATAGTAACGTAATAGTGGCCACAATTCATAAAATTTTAGGAAGTTGCATCTGGAATTTCAAGAAGTGACTTCTAATAGTTAAATTACCAAGACAAGTAATCCACAAATATGAGCCATGTTCCTGAACACAAGAATGCCAAGCAAATCATACATTTAGATCAGACCATTAACTCTTTGACCAGAACTAAAACATAACTGAGACTAAACAACTTAGGGTTTGTTTGGATTAACGTTACAAAAGTGCTTATAAGTATTTTCACACAAACGTTTAAAAAACTATTTATAAGTCATTCCAAACTGGTTCAAGTACATTGCTACTCTAATACAGTAGCCACTCAGTTTATTGAAACAAAGGACCGTCAAAATAGCCCCCCAGTCCTCTGTTTCTAAGATTCTCATCCTTATCAGTCCTTTAATTAACAGCATCAAGCAATATGAGGATATGAAATTCACGATCACTACCGTACCTGCCATGAAGCCAAATCCTAACACCTCTATTTCATTCACTATAATCTCCAAGTTCATCGATGACCCGGTGCTCCCTAGCTTTGGATCTCGCTCCGATATCATCGATTTTACATTGCAAAGCTCATAAGGTGTCGGACCATCATAATCAAATTTATAATGCTCGCATACCGATCTTCCAATTCATCGTGGAGGTACCCGAAGATGATCTTCGATTGTTGCTCTCTAAGTAGCGTCCGTCCCGACACTCAACAGAATCGGCGTCACCAAGCTGGAACTCCTCTGTTTTCCCAACTTATCGTCGCCCCCTTCTGATTCCCCCCACTCACTGAACACTCCACACCATCAAAGCCACGTTGAGGCAACAGTGTCTGCGCATCGAGGGAGAGAGATCGCGCGAAGTATGCATGCGCAGAGGTAGAGAGCGGAGTACGCTATGCACGAGCTGGCGTGGGGAAGAAGCGGTAGGGCATAAATACAAAACTAAAGAAATAAAATAAAAAAGGGTTAATACAATTATTAGTCCTTACACTTTTCATTCATTTTGGTTTTGATACCTGAAGTTTGAAATCTCCAGTTTTGGTCCTTTAAGTTTACTCCATTTAAAACGTTAGTCCTTATATTTTTAAAAGAACTTGGTGTCACCTTTAACACTGTTAAATATGCTGACATGTCATTAACTCTGTTAAATATGCTGATGTGGAAGCAAGTAGACTAGTTGAGGTGGACTAACTGGAAATTTGGGATAATGAAGCGTGTTATAATCAATGTTTTAAAAGCCGGACCGGAAGTCGAGCCGGAAAGATCAACGGGTCATGGTTCAATCGGTCGGATCGGTCGGACCGTTTGGTCAGACCGGTGATGTAATAATTAATTTAAAACAATATTATATACATATAATTAGTATATATGAAAAATATCAAATTATTAAATAATTTAGAAATGCATTTAAATAATCTAAAATTATAATGAAATCATTGAAAATGGACTAAAACCTTATATATTTAAATTTATGTATGTTTAAAATATTTAATGATATTACAAATTATCAATTCATTCAAATCAAAATATTTTTTTAAACGATAGACCAAATATCAAAACAAAAAGACTAGCGACTTACGATTTTAACACCACAATATATGAAATTTTCAATGAAATAATACTCTATGGTTATAAATAGTCTAAAAATATATTAGGATATTTAAGGGGATCAATTTTTTTATTTTTCTTCTATTTTTTTTTAAATTTTTAGTATTTTTTCAGTCAGGCTAAAAAACCGTCCGGTTTTCTGAAAACCGTTCCGGTTCCCGGTCCAACTCCGGTTTCCGGCTTAATAACGGCTCAACTCCGGTCCAATCCGGCTCAACTATATGAACGGTTTTTTGGTCCAAACCGAGCCGTTAACGAGTCCGGGTCACGGTTCAACCTGTTCGACCGTCCGGTCCGGTCCGGTTCTTAAAACATTGGTTATAATAATAATGTAAAATGTACAAGCAGAGCAACCTCAAGAAAAATAAAAATGCTATCAGGTCGTCGGTAAGCCCGCCGGCAGTGACAGATAAACCTGACTCTGCACCACCATTTTATCCATCTTGAAACCGGGAACAATTGTGAAACTCACCCGATGCTCGACGGCACCACCGGAGCCACCACCGGTTTCTTCACTCCCTGACTCTGAAACTAATTCCGATTCAGTGACATTAACACATTCCATGTACACCTCAGAGAATCTACTGTTCTTCTTCACCTGAAAGATGCTCACTTCATCATCAAACGACAATGCCAGAAAATGTAGGTCCCAGACATGCTTCGCCATCTCAGCGAACGAAGTGAAGAAAGCAGAATCTGGGAACCCCCCAGAGTTCACTTGCTTCCTCTGGTTCAAATTCCCAAACAAGGAACACTCCATCTTGGCGTGAACAAGTTGAAAGTACTTGGATTTTTAGAATTTTCCGAATGACGATGTTGGATTGTGGGTTAGATACTATTTCGGATTCAAAGATTTGAGCTTTTTGAATTTCTCAAAGTAGAGGTTTTGGTTTTGCTTGTGGGGTTTTCTCCCACTGGGCTCATTCGGGACAGTAAAGTTTTGGAAATTGAAACCTTTGAAAATTGTTAAACATACGAATGATTCAAATGCAAAGTATATGTGACTCGATTTGGCAAATACTGCATGTGGGTGAATGAATTTCGCAGCTGCTTGAAGATCCCAATGAGCAGATTCCATTTATTTTTTAATCTTTTATAAACCACCTCAGCTAGTCCTCTTGCTTCCATATCAACATATTTAACAGAGTTAGTGACATGTCAACATATTTAACAGTGTTAAAGGTGACACCAAGTCCTTTTAAAAATACAAGGACTAACATTTTAAACGGAGCAAACTTAAAGGACCAAAACTGGAGGTTCCAAACTTCAGGGACCAAAACCAAAATGAATAGAAAGTATAAGGACTAATCATTGTATTAACCCAGTAAAAAAAGTTATAAAAATTTTGAAGGATGTTTTCGTCCGTTTTTTTAAAAAAAGACAAGAATATTCCTAATAGTATCTTCTGTTCTTAAAAACAAACGAGAATATGTTTTATTCTCGTCTGATTTTGAAAAACAAATGAGGATACACTTTGTATTCTCTTCTGTTTTAAAAAACAGACAAGAAAAGTAACTTTTCTTCTCTGTTTTTAAAATAAATATAAGGGAGGTCAAAAGTGTATTTTGTTGTAGTGGGAGGAGGACAAGACCAAGGATGTGTTGAAACGGTTTCCTGCAGTTTTACCATTATGGGGCAATCGGCATTAGTACAGATTACTTTAGGACATGGTGATTGTTCAAGTTCATATTATTTCAGGGAAATGAAAAGGCTAGAATAGGCGATATAAAAATTAGTAACATCGGTTGTTTAAATTACTGATGTCATTTTATGTGTCTTAACACAGGCTGGATTAATGTTTGATGTAAAAAATCAGAAAGACCAGCGGGTCATGGTTCAAACGGTTAGATTGGTTAAACCGTCTGGTTGAACCGGTGACGCAATAATTAAATAAAATATTAATATTATAGGCATATATAATAATGCATATGTAAAAAATAAAATATTAAATTGTTAGTTAATTTGAAAAAAAAATAATTAAATTTCATGATTTTAGAAGAAATTCAACTCATCATAATCATAATTAAAACAATACATTATCTATGCTAATATACTTTTATCTTTATATCAATTATACATGTAAATCATAATTATAAAAATTAAAAAATATAATAGGAGTACGGTGAAAAATAACATAGCTTATAAATTCTTTCCCAAGCGGGTAGTGAAGCAAATAATTATATATAATTAATATTGGTAATTAAGATTAATAAGTGATGGGATGTGCTAATGGATGTATCAATTCTTCAATCCTTCCAATGTCCAGAAAGATTCGAAAATCTTCATTATTTTTTAATTGAAAAAAAAATTAAGAAATTCAAAAGCGTGCAGCGTGTAGGATGTCAGACACAAAATGAAAAGCAAGTGTCAATTCAAACGGAGCCTTTTATTCTCTCTCTTTCATATGCCGATATGGCTTCTCTTATTCTTCTTGTCTTTCTTTCATCGCACCTTCAGCTCCCTCTGAGTTTTGAGTTCTCAGATTTTCTAAGCATTCCGTTGCTTTCTCCGTTCATCTTACGGTGGCCAACAAAAAGCACTAGTATTTTTCATGATAAGTTTCTTCTATCTCCATCTTTTTTCTTTTTTTCGATGTTAATCCATCTCCTTCCCCAGTTTTCCCTTCACCTTCTTCGTTTTTTTTTCCTGCCGTCCGGTTACTTGCAAACCACTCCGATTCCCAGTTCAAATCCGGCTTCCGGCCTAAAAGCCGGTTCTGAGCGGTTGAAACTGGCCTAACCCCTCAAACGGTTTAAAGCTCCAAACCAAGCCGACAAAGTGACTGGCTGACGGCCGAACCAATCCAATCGTCCGGTCTGGTCTGGGTTTCAAATCATTGGTACGATGT